CCAGACCTCCTTTTCTGCAATTTCATGGCTATCTGCTAAATTTTTACATTTTTGCTTAAGTTTTGCACACCAGTGTAGGATGTTCAGCGGGAGAAAAAAAAGTTTTGGGCCTGTAGACTACTTTGTCAGATTTTATGAAACCTTCTCCATCAAAATAACTTCGGTTTGCAATTTTGTATTTGTGTTATCTAAGATTTTATGAAATAGTTTTTTTATAAGTTATTTTTCCTCCAGCTCCAGCTATAAATAATTTCTATGTATTTAAATGAGAAATTATAGCTGGACTTACGTGAATTCGATTTATGTGTTTATTACTGTCCCACCTATCGCTAAGTACGGGGTATTACTGGATTTAATTTTGTCTGTTGTGTTGAGAGTACTTTTTCAATTTAATGCAGGAAAGAAAATACTGCGTCATTTACTTCCAGCTGCATGAGGTATGTTTTCAGTTTCTCCGCAATATAAAGCGATAGAAAATGTGTAACAGCTCTGATCGGAGCTGCATTAGTAATTTCTGCATAAAATTCGCTACGCATTTGCTTCCAATAGTCTGACATGCTTAGCAAATTTTATATTAAAAAAAATCCTCTTAAAACCATACATATAATAAACCTCACTTCTCTCAAGAAAACGAGCAAATGGTAGAATCTCTTAAAATATTCCCTAAGTTGTGGAGTGGGATGAGATCAAGGAATTTTCTGTCCTATTCCAAACACGTGGTAGGTTACACTCATGACTCATCTGCACCTGTGGAGCTTAATAATGAGTTGTGCCCTTCGCAATCGGAATTTGCGGCTTACAAGAGAAGTGTTTTTCATATGTTATTGAATATGTTATTTGAAAATAAATCAAGTTTTTCTAATCCGAACTATTAAAAAAGGGTTGTTCGATTGTTGAAATAATTCGTTAATATATTACTGATTAAATAGGAGATTTTGCTTCCATTTTGATCGGGGAAAGAAAAAATTTGTTAAATCGTGAGATTCGTTAAATACGGGTTCGATAAATCGGAGTCCGACTGTACTTGTAGAATTTACTCTCGATCAAAATTCGTGGTTTCTTTTTCATATAACAATCAACGATGGCCATTTTCATGTCTGTGAACTTCAGAGGAACATTTCGCAGTGTGTAATTTTAATATTTTGAGAATGATTAAACACCAGAAGTAAAATTAAACACGGGTAGAGGGTGGAACTAGCTTCTATTAAGCATGCATAAACATAAAACCGGATTACACTGGTTACTTTCTGATCGTTTGCACAATTTGTGAGCGTGAAATAGCTTGCCGCTTCTATCGTATCCTAGTGCTATCGAAGCAGTTTAATGTTAAGTGTGTGGAAGACTGTGATGAAATGAATTGAGTGTGGAACTGTAAACCCGATTGAAATACTGTTAGTGGTAACGTCTTGAAGCGCAACGAAACAGAGTGATAATGGATTTTCGAACCCTCCAGGGACGTCGTTTCTACGACTAATATTATGAATTTCTAAGCCTTCAATACAGTTTAATACTAGATAGCTTCAGCCGGATAGAGCAAACAAGGAGATTCAAATAATTTAAACCTCACGTGTTTAATATTTAGTAGCATACTGATTGTGGTAAGCAACTTTATCATAAATAAAGCAATTAAAAATTGAATTTTTATTTCAAAATAGAAAAATGAGGGGAGAAATTTTTTTAGTAATTAAGAATGGAAAACGTATATACACTGGTGTGCAAAACTTAAGCAACAATGTAAAAATTTAGCAGATAGCCATGAAATTGCAGAAAAGGAGGTCTGGAGATCAGTAGAGGGAACACGTAAGTCAGTAGAAACGTCATGCGTAGGCAAATATCAGGAACAAAACGTCAGAAGCGATGTGAGCGTACGCAAAACGCGTGATGTCGGCGCGCGCTGCTCAACAGTAGAATGAAATGAAGGACGGAGACGCAATTCACCATATTCTCTGCAAGCGCCAGTTCGTCAGTTCGTGAAATATGGCTAGAAGAAATCACCTGGATGACTTCACACGTGGAAGAATGATCGGAAAGCTGGAGGAGGGGCGTACTGTCACCAGTGTAGCTGCAGAGTTCGGAATCAACAAAAGTGTCCTTTCGCGCACTTGGAAAGCGTTCCAAACCACAGGTACAGCTGTTAGAAAGGTTGGTGTGGCCGCCCGAGGACGACAACTGCAGGGGATGATCGATATA